AACAATGTAATAATTCTATTCAAAGCATTGTTAACTATTTTCCAAGAATCTGAAAATTGGATTCCTAAAAATATAAAAGATTGGGCAACTATCTAAAGAACTATTGGACACACATCAAAATTCATTCAAATGTTATAAAATTTTAAAAAATATTACATATCAGAGTTCAAAATATTACAAACTTAAGTCTTATTATAAGATGTTCATAATTAAAAACTATCTCAAAGATCAAACAATCTATTAAAAATTGTTAAATCACTTCTTCGATATTATACTAATTAATTTTTCAATTAATCTTTACATGAAGACTCTTAATTAACTTCTAAATTTTAAAATGAACCTCCCTTAAGTCCTATTAAAAATTCAAATCTATTAGAACAAGACTCTGAAATTATTATATAAGAATTAATAAAGAAAGAAAAACTTAATACTATTCCTAATGAAATTAAATAATCTTGTTAAATTAATAAGATAAGATCAAGAAGTCCAACCACTGCTTCTTCAGGAAGTAAGAGTAGAACTATTTAATCATGTTAACCTCATCGATTATCTGTACCTGTAGGCAATCCTATTAGATAATAAAGTAGTTCTCAATAGAAATCAAATTTTACTCTTAAATAGTATAATAAAACATTTAATAATACAGTATCTTTGAAATCTAGTGGAATTTATTTTAGAGAAAGATCATAAACTAATACTCAAAATAAATTAGATTAAATTGATAAATCCCCATTATAATAAACAAAATAATAATGTGTTAAAGATTAATTGTTTACAAAAAAATCAACTTTAAAAAATAATAAATGATTATAATTTTTTCATTTTAGTATTACTAACAAAAAAGTATTTATCATAAATACTATTAATGCCAAGGCTATAAAATAATATTAAATAAATACCAAATATTGCTTAGAAAATAGAACAAATAGTAAATGAGAATTTACAACACTTAAAATTAATATTTATCTTGTCTTCCATAATGTAATCAAATTCTTCCCCTTATTAATTTACAAATGGTTTATTAACTTTTTAATATTAGATAATTGGAATGTCTGTTTATTGCATTTTATTTCTATCTTTTTTTATAATATATTTAATATTAAAAGTATTAATATATATATATATATATAAATATATAATAAGAATTGTATGTGTATTGATTTTCATTTAAGCATTTCTTATAACAACTCATCTATTTCTAATAAACTTTAATCACATGCTGATCCTCTTGTAGTTGCTTTCATTGATGCTTTAACAAAACTTTCATCATATGGATTTCTTATTTATGGTGTCATGTCAGTTATTTTATATTTTATCTATGTACTTTGATTTAATTATTCATCATCACTTATAGTCTTAGAATTTAATATAGAATAATCTACTCCTTATAATTTTTATTCCTAACTTTAGATAAACATTATGCAAATACTTCTTCATTCTCTGAATGTTTTTATGGTCGAAATAAAATACATAATTTTATAATGCACCAAATAAATGATGAAAAAACCGATACTATAAACAAGCATAATAACACTTCTTTATAATGTAGTTTTATCAATAATTATTTTACTTTCTGGAACTCTTACTTATATGCACTTTGCTTTTACTCAATCGACTTTTCAAACTTTGGAATTGTGTAATTTTATTTTGGAAATTCAGATACATCTTCCTCAATTAATTCTTGTTACAAAACTAAATTAGAATCAAACTCTAATCTTTCTATCTAAAATTAGTTAACCCTTTCTTATCCTATTAGAGGTTCTTATATCAATTATAAAATTGAAATTGGTTTCCGAACTATTCCAATATGCTTTTTTGGATGTTGAATCCTACAATCAGAAAATGCAATATTATGCATAATCATAATCAAAATTATCATCTTAAGCTTTGTTTATTTATTAAATAAACAATTAAAATATTATTATGAAACGATGTTAATCATCTATTACTATGAATAATCATTCATAAAAACAAACAATCAAATTAAAATCTGCCTCATAATATTACTTAAATCCATGCTTATAACCCTTAGAATAAACACTTAAAAAATACTAAAATTTTAGTTTAATTTATCTAAATAAAAAGGATTTCTTTTACCCATATTGTCATAAAAGATTAACTCTTTTTGGAAACTCTAATAATTCTTCTATATAAAATCTAAACAAAGAAAATAATCTTATCCTTTCCAAAAATAAACCATATATTCCTCCTTTATTACTTAAGAACAATTTTTCAAATTGCCAAAAGATTTCAAATTAATATAATACTGATAGAATTTATAAGAAATTGACTCATAGAAGTATAAAAAGCTTACTTACAGAATCAAATTATTCAAAGTATACTTCTCGTTAATTAAAATAAAATTGATGAAATTATTGATGATATTATTTGATTATAGAATAATAATACTTATATTATAATTTATTTAATTATTTTAATAAACAAATTATTTCATTTAATTAGAAAACATTTATAAATTATAAAAATCATTAAATACAAGTTCTAATCTAAAATAATAATCTAATAATCAATATATAATCAATATTCTATGAAATAAACTAAGTATTACTATTATTTTCTAATACATTCTAATAATTTGCTTATTATTGAAATTTAATTTTACTCTAACATTTTTAAATATAAAAGAATACTATAGAAATGAATTGATTATAGTTTATTTTATTAAATAAGACTTTATAATTAAATATAATCCTCTATTTTATTCAGATCGAGATTTTTATTAAGTAATTCGATAATCATAAATATACATTTTAAAATAACTAGGAACTAAAATTGTTTGAGAGTCTTAGTTTATGAATCAACCTATCATATTAATTAAATATATGAATAAATAATATATAAAGTATGCACTTTTGAAATGTTTAAATTTTCTTATATTTATTATTAAATACATGCTTAGGTATATAAAATAAAAAAATGTACTATTACTTTAGTATATTTAAAATAAAATATAATGGAGTGAGAATTTTATTTAATAATTTGAGAACTCTGAATTCATTATATTATATTTTTTTGTGATAAATGTTCAGTAAAATTGTGAAATTTTATATTATCTTATTTATGGCAGATGAATGATAAAATCACAATCAAAATGTACTATGTCTATTTTAAGTTGAATTATTCTTAATTTATTTGAAATACAAATACAGAATTACGTACTGGTTATATGATGTTGTATAATAACTCTTTATTACAACATTTAAAGTTTATGTATTAGTAATACTTGTGATTATTGATAGGGAAAGAAATTGGAAGAATATCAGGAAATTTAAAAAAGAGAAATTAGATAGAAAGTAAAAAATTCGTTAAGCAATAATAGAAATAAAAGCTTTTTAGATACTACCTGTAGAAAATGAGAAAACAATTGTAAAATAAGGTATAGTTGAAGTAATAATTATGTTTTAATTTCAATAATATAGATTAAACAACTAATAGAATGAAAAAAGTATAATTATATAAGATCAAGTATGATTGTCATTACAAAAGATAGTCAATGATGTTTCATTATGTTTATGTGTATGAAATTTAATGAATTTTTAATAATAAAAGGAGATTGTTTGATGAAAATTTTTGAATGAAATTTATGAGAGAATGAATGATTTAATTAAAGTAATTAATTTTAATAAATCATCAATAAGAAATCAGAATGACTATAGTTTTAATTTGTGGTAATTATACATCACTTTTAGAATATGTTAGTATTGAAGCTCTAATCTTATGTTAAAGAAGAAATTCATTGAAAAAAGAGAGAAAATAATTATAAATTTAAATTGTTGTTACAACTAATTAAATAAAAATAATAATATTTTTTCTTTTTTTTGATATTCAATAGCAATTAACATTAATAATCAAGAATTAACTCGTGGCAACATCATAGTATATGGTCTTTAGTAAAAATTTTGTTGAATTTGAAGTGGGTATTATGTTATTGTTGGAGACACAGGTTCATATTCTTATTTTATATTGATTTATTATTTAACTTCCAGAAGTTGCTTAAATATTAGTTGTGATGCTAAAAATAAATTTTAAATTGTTGTGTAATAAAATGGATTCGAAGTTTCTGCAGCCTTCTAATATTAGTTTGTTAATATAGAAAATAGTTTTTAACAATGTTATTAAAGAAGGGAATGTTATTCTTAGATCAAATTAGCTTAATCTTGATTTGAAGGTTGTTTGTCAATATATATCTACATAAATTTATTTTTAAATACCTGACTAACTTCTGATGATACAATAGGCTAAGACAATTACAAAGTTAGAGGATTCATAATTGAAATCTTCAAGATATTCTCAACCTTGAGCTTCTTCTTTCTAGTTTCCTTCTTACCTATCCTACCTTCTTTCTCATAAGCTTTTTGTATTGTTCGTACAGTACAATATTTTAGCTTCAACCTATTTGCTACCTAATAGGATTAATGATTAAGATATCATATATATATGGATAAGACATAAGCAAAAATTTGGTATTAATTTGATACCTCTTATAATGAGAGCTTGTCATGCAAAAGTAGCTTTAACACTAGTTTTCTTTCTTCCTTATTGATTTTTTGGTACTTTCTACTTGATTTTTCTTATACCTCTTAATTTTCAGATTTAGTCATGAGATTAGAATCTTTATTATTATTATATTTATATAAAATTTAAATTAATACTTAACAAATTTGAATTAAGATTTATTTCATTATTTACATATATATAATTTCTTTTGATTATCTAATTTATTAATAAGTCATTCAATACATCTCAATCAATAATTCAACCTCTAAAATGTTGTTTTTATCTAACATAATTAAATCCATTCACTTAATAATTAATTATTTTACACTTTATATACTTTTTATAAAGCTAAAATTTCAAAGTATATCAAATTTTTACTTATTGGGTTAATAATCAATTTCAAATTCATTTCCAACCTATAGTATTCAATATTATGTATCTAAACACATATCAAAAAGGAATTTTATCAAAATTGCTATACAATGATTTTTAAATTATTATATACATAGACACAATTCTTATACAATTTTCAAGTTTATTTTCCTTTCTTAATTAATAATGTATGTATAATTCCTACTTTCAATAAAATTAACTTTCTTTCTTATTTTTATTATATAGAATCATTGTTTTAACAGGCAAATTTTATGAATAAAATGACAATTATCCAAATAAGCTTATTTATTGAAAAATCCTATATAAATAGAATAATCATACTATTTCCTACTACTTTAATTTGCTTGCAATCTAAAAATAATAGATGTCACATCTTTTAAATTATGATGCTGGAGATTTTGTTTTTTCATTAATAATGTTATTCAATCTAATAAAATAAAACAATATAAGCATATTCAATGAAAACTAATATTAGAATTATATAAATACATCTCTAACATTTTTTGATTCTATTTTCAATTATGAAACGAATTTCATATTTTTTAAGTTCTATAAACTAATGTAACTCTATTCTTATGCTTGTTGATTATTTAAATAAGTGCAATTTAAAGATCATTAAAGAAAATGCTTTCGTTATAAAATGGTTAGATTTTTCCATTTATTTTTATATTCAACCTTCAAAAAAATGAAGTGTTAATTCTGAGAATAGTTGATGTCTGCTTAAAGGGATTATGAAACTTTTTGTTAAAAGTTAAACTTAAGGTCTGACATTTCCTAAGAATAATTTAAAAATTAAATGTTCTTAAATTTTTTTAAATTGGAATCATAGAAATTTATGAAACAAGACTAATTATTATTTAATTAAAATTATCGAAAAAATATAATGATATGAGTATGTCCAAATAATCAATCGATTTTCTTCATCATTGTAAAGAATTCATCCAATGAAATTTAACCATCAGAATTAGAATCAAATTCTTATACTACTTATTTCCACATTTCTTCTGGAATTCCACTAAATATCTCTTTCAATTCATCTATAGTTATACTTCCACTTTTATCCTAAATAATTTTATCATATACTTTATCAAACATATGAAAAGTAACTTATAATCTTTATTTCGATAATAATTATTATCTATCTATTGTTGCAATTACAAACTCTAAAATTTAATAAAATATATATATACCTGTATAATCAATTGAACCTGAATTATTTTTATCAACTTATTAAAATATACGGTTAACTTCTTCTACAGCTTCAATAGGTTTCATAATCTTTGAATATCCCACTAATAATTCTTCTTTACTCAATTTTCCATCTTAATTTGTATCTAAACATTAAAAAATTTTTAATAATTCTGCCTTTTCTTCTTTTGTAGCTAATTGATTCACAATAAATTTAAAAACAGCTTCTTATAATTTTTATTATTCTGTAAACTATCTCATATTTGTTAACACTTTTGTCATTAAAGGTTTATCAAATTCAGCAGGATTTGTAAATCTTTTAATCCATGGATCATTTAAAGCTTATTAAGCACTATATCTCTTAACTTTAAAATAATTAAATAAAATAAATACTAGGATCAAATTGTAACATTTTTCGAATATACTCTTTGGCCTCTTTTGAAACTTCTTCCCATTCTATAGTATCAAATGTATAAACACCTTTTGATACTTTATCCATTATTTTTTCTTCAGTTTTACCATCAAATGGAGGGTATCTCAAAGTTATAATTTTATTTACCCACATAATAATATATAGAGGATTACTCCACATGACCAAATATCACATTTTTCATCATATTTCTTTTTTAGAACTTCAGGTGCAATATAATAGGGTGTACCTAATTTTTAATTTAATTTTTAATTAGGAACAAATTCTTTTGAAGTACCAAAATCTATAATTTTAAGCATAGAATTTTCTTTTTCAGATTCATATAGTAAATTTTCTGGTTTCAAATCTCTAAATTAAGATATTTACATTAGATTTACCTATGTACAATCTTTTCATCATGACAATAATTAATAGCAGATAATATTTATTTCATAATTTCAGCAGCTTTCTTTTCTGAGAAACTACCCTCATGTCTAATTTTATCAAAAAGTTCTCCTCCAGTACATAGTTCTGTTACTATATAAAAGAATCTTTCATCTTAATAAAATTCAAAAACTTTAATTATATTTGGATGATCCTTTAATAGTTTTGAATGATTACTAATTTTTAAAGCATTTTAACTTCATTCATCAATCTCTCTTATTCTTCTTTACTTGTTTAAGATTTATGAATAATTTTAACTGCTTTCATCAAATTTGTGCTCTTTTATATTGCTTTCCTTACTTCACCATATGCTCCTAAAAGATATTTAATATATTAAATACCACTTCCCAAAGGTGGATTCAAAAGTGTATAATCTTTTGTTATTCGTCCTAGCTTTTCACTTGTGATGATTAAATTACCAAAACAAGATTATGCTATTAAATGTTATAAATCAGATATACCATCATTAAGTTAAAGTTTTTATGGTGAAGAATTATCTGTTTCAGGTTTATTACTAGAGTTCTTAGAAGCAGAATTATTTTAAGAACGTTTACCAGAGCAAGAGCCCATAAGTTATTATAAATAATATAAATAAATGGGTACTTGTAGTTAAGGATAGAATATTCAGAATGTTAAAGGAAATGAAAGAACATTAACAAAATTAGTAGGATATTTTTACAGTATTCCAATGCAACAACATCCAGATATTGATAGTTTGATAATTACAAAATTAGAGAGATAAAAAATAATTTCTAGAGGATTAAGTAAAAATCTCATTGAAGAAATCGTATAGTTTTTAAATTCTCGAATGATTAGGAATAATGAATAAGACAATTTACTTGATCATTTTAATTATGTATACAACTAATCATTTAAGAAAATGAATGACTTTAATACAAACCTGGGGAAAATGATATTGATTGTAACACTTTTATAATAAGATATGTAAGACCACCATCGAAGTCTTATTATGTTTTAAGTCTCTTGAAATGGGAGAGTTGACACCAATAGATGTATGGTGGGTAGAAGATCATTTTTTATGGAGGTATTGCCAATTATAGGATCAGTACAAAGTAGATTATGATGATTTTTTGGATTTTAATCATTTAATCAAATTTTTATATCTTTTGAAGGAGTGTATAAGAATAGAATTGAAAAAGATGAATTTTGAATTGAAATAATTGATTAGTTCCATAAAGACTGAACATTAATTATAATAATAAGAAATTCCAAACACAGCTAGAACTGTAGATACTTTTAGACCATAACAAAAAAGATTAGATACATTTTGAATACTTATATTCATTAATCAAATTCTGAAAACATTTTATATCTTCCTGGACCAGGAGTAACTTTATTTATTTCATATGGTCCTTTCCTTGTAGACTTACTAAAAGTCTATTACACAGCAGATCTCATTCCATTCTTTGGGTATATTCCTGATTAATTAATACCAATATTTTCGAGTGAGTAACGTCCTGGTTCAGGATAATCATTCACTAATTTAAATCTTCATAATTTACCTCCTAAAGTTTTGAACCTCTCTTAATCTTTTCCAATTATACAAGCTCCTGAGTTTTGAAACTTAGATAGTGGATAAACTCCTTTTGATGATATGGCTTATACATATTCATAATTACCAGGACCTTTTTTAATAAATTTAATAATATACCTGGAGTGTTAAACTTCTATAGGGATTATGTTCTTTAACCAAATGTAAACTTTTATCTTCTTGTAACTGTGCTTGGTATTTGATAACGATCTGGTGGAGGAGTAGATTAAGTAAGAGTTGCCCAAATCCCTTGAAGCCAAGTATCTTCTCTGCCTAAAGCAAATTGGATTCCTTTCTTTTCTTCCATGTTTAATTCTGCGAAACTCTTGATATCATATTTATTTGGAGCAGGAACTTATTTAACATGTTTAGTAAAATCATGTCTAGAATGTATTTGGGATAAATTACTTTTATCCATAACCAATGCCAGCCATTCTCTTGCTTAAACTATCTGGAAGGTTATACATAGATCCATTACTAGGTTAGAATAAAGAATTTACATTAATTTAGTTGAATAGGTTTCACGAGCTGCTTTGGAAAAGGTGTATCTTTATTTTGAAATTGAATTATTGAGTGGTTGATCAAATATACTTTTAGAGGTATTCATTTATATTATTTTATAATTGTGTGTATATATATCTATTTTTGATTATTTTTATTTAACTTATATTCAACGAATGAATTAAGAGAAATAGTAAGAGGAACCTATTAAATTTGAAAAGGCTATGTATGTCTATTATATTTATATTTTTCAGAAATGAATAAATAGGAGAATTGATGGAACATCTTGATAGAGAACATGACAGTGAGGATGAGGGCATGGAAGATTATAAAATTGGAGGTTACTATGATTAAATATAATTTTAGGTTATCATCCAGTTCATATTGGTGAGATTTTACTTAATCGATATGTGATTATTTAAAAATTAGGTTGGGGACACTTCTCTACTGTCTGGTTGGCAAAAGATTTCAAATATGATACATATGTAGCATTGAAAATTCAAAAGAGTGCTTCTCATTATTTGGAAGCAGCATATGATGAAGTACATTAATTATTTTAACAATTAGGTTGAAATTCTTCAAAAAGTAGCTTAGAATGTTCAAAATCCCATTTGGATTCAATCTTTGAAAGAGTATTATGCAGATGTAAGATGATAGTATATAAATTAATAGTAAGGAAGGACATCTTTCAATAGAGATGACACTCACACAGTTTAATTGTTAAATTCATTTGTATATAAAGGACCATATGGTCATCATTTCTGTATGGTTTTTGAGATTTTGGGAGTTAATTTACTAGAAATCATTAAACGATATGAATACAAAGGAGTAATGAATTAATTTTATCTTAGTGTCCAATGGATATTACTAGAAGAATGGCCAAATAAATTTTAATAGGATTAGATTATCTTCATCGAATATGTGGAGTAATTCATACAGATTTGAAACCTGAAAATGTTTTATTATGTTTATCAGATGAAGAGATTAAAGATATAGTTGAAAATGGATAATTGACTTCAAATTAATTATTTTCAGATAGAATTCATATTTATAGATAAATGTTGGGAATTGAGAAACCAATTGTTTAAGAGCCTATTGCAAAAAAAGAAGATGATGAATTAAGTGAAAATACAACAAATTTATCTAAAACTCAAAAGAGAAAATTATTAAGAAAAAAGAAACATAAATAATAACATGAAGAATCAAGAAAAGAATCTTAAGATGTTTAAGTTGATTAAATTGAAATGCCAAAATCTATTAAAGAATTATTTTAATAATAAAAGAAGTAATAAATTTATATATTTTATTAGAATATCTTTTACTTAATAAAAGAAATTGCCAGATAATTTTCGTTTGAAAATAGCTGATTTAGGAAATGCTTGTTGGATTCATCATCATTTTTCAACATTAATTTAAACTAGATAATATAGATCACCTGAAGTATTATTGGGAATAAAATACAATCCTACTGCTGATATATGGAGTTTTGCTTGCATGATTTTTGAAATGCTTACAGGAGATTATTTATTTGAACCTAGATAAGGACCAAATTTTTCTAAAAATGAAGATCATTTAGCATAGATTCAAGAATTATTAGGAAAATTTCCATATGAATATAGTACTAGAGGAGCAAAAGCAAAAGTATTAAATTATTTTAAATAAATAGAGATATTTTTAATAGAATGGATAAATGAAAAGGATACCGCAATTACATTTTTGGAATTTACATAATGTTTTGACTGAGAAATATAGATTTAAATAAGAAGAAGCCTTATCATTTGCTTCATTCATGATGCCCATGTTACATTAATTACCTGAATACAGAACAACAGCTCAAGAAGCGTTAAAGAGAGAATTATGTCAGAACAATTTAGATCCATAATAAAGGAGATGTTTACTTAAGAAATATATCGATTAGATATTTTAATTTTAGAATTTTAGAGATTTAATACCTAGTTCTGGTTGGTTATAATAAAAAACAGATAATGGAATAGGACATAAAATGAATGAAGATGAATATAAGAAATATACTAAATAAAAGAGAGTAAATGAAGAAATTGAATAATTAGATTAGGGTGTTGATGGTATTTAACCAACTTTATTATCAAATTATAGAAGAGTATATAAATTATTATTATTTTTAGGCTTCAACTAGATCATATAATGGTTCTAATTCTTAGACTCCTTAATAGGATAAATTTAAAAAGTAGGATGGTAAATATGTTGATCATAGAGTTATTGACAGATCATTTACAGATTTAGGATATATTGGATATGGAGATGGAATTGATTTAGAATAATTAGATAGTACAGGAAATTGGTAATTTAGTTGATCTATTTGGTTAATTGTACATGTTTATTTAAATAAATATTCTTTTGATATCGATTATTATGATGATAACCATTCTTCATTAATTGTGATGGCCTTCGAAAGCTCTTATATTATGAGCTGTGTTTATTACAAAGTTAGAAGTATCTATTACATATCCTTTTGTTGCTGCTTCAAATAATTCTGGATGATGTACTATTCCTTCCTATTTTCAATTAATTATGAATATACTTTCATAAAATATATTACTTCATCTTATACTGTTGTACCTAATTCTTGAATATGATCAAGTTAACATGCTAATTCATATTTTAATTAACCTTCTTCTGTTAAATAGTCAGCATTATCTCTATCATCGAATTATTTGAAATCTGCTGTTAATGGGTGGAATTAATAGGTTTCAACCCAATATACATTTTTATCATTAGCAAGAGTTGTAGTCTCTATCTTAAGTACTTTTCCACCTCTTAACAATGAAAGTCTATGAATTTTAAATTATAATGATCTCCAATACCTAATTTAATAAGAGTTTTCTATTACCACATTCTAGGAATCCATAAAAATGATGGTGCATATATAAATAGATTATTCCAATACCATGCAATATCTAATGGGTTTTTAAACCAAAGATAAATTGATAAAGGAATAGCTGTCTCATAAAGAACATATGGATATTTTAAGAATATTGTAAGATGCTTATGGGGATCACATGAATAGCTAAATATAATTAATTGATTTACAGCAATACTTCTCCTATTCTATCAAACTCAATTGTATAAGTTGGTTTATAAATTCGATCTGTTTTTACTACATATTATGATTCATCATTCATAACTTATGCTTTATGAGCTATTGTTGCATTATGGAAACTTTTTATGTGATTCAATTAATAAAGATTCTTAATACCCAATCTTGCAGTGTTTGTTATTCTTGTTATCATTAATTTAAAGATATGAATAATATTAATTTTGTATTGCTCTCATAACAAAATACTACATCCACTTTTAAATCATTGTTTAATATATTGTCTAAATATATTATAAATTATGCTTCATTCTTCAATTTAAGTAATGTATTTGTTCTTATTTAAACATTAGTAACAATCATATACAATTATCATCATATCAAATATAAATAATAAATGAAAATTAAATCGTTTTTGAGATGTATCGTTTTTTAGTTAATAAATAAATGAAAGGAATTATTGCTATTATTCTTGCATTGGCTATTGTTTCAAATGCCACAAGCACTAAAGATTAAATCTTAGCTCTCCTATAAACAGGAACAAAGGCCAGTGATGCCATTGACACAGTCTTTGGATTACTAAATGATTTAAAACAATCTAACATCGATGCTCAATTTGCTGCTGACCAAAAGAACGAAACAGATGAATGGGTTGGTGCTTAAACCATTGAATAATTCACTAAAATTAAGACTCTTAATCAAAAATTGTTCCAATAGGCTGTTGAAAATAGAGCTGAATATGAAAACGTACTTTAATAAACCAAAAACTATTTGGCATGGAATGAAGCTAGAAGAGACTCTATTGCTGCTAAAATTGAAACACTCTAAGATAATTAATGTTTCTCCAACTAATTATTTGTTAAATCAATCAAACATAATTAAGAAGCTTTGGAAGTCATTAGACTCCTCAAATAAGATGTTGCTGGATATATTATTAATGGAGATTCTTTTGAATTCACATAAGTTAAAGCCTAATCAGTTGCTGAAAAATTGAAGTAATATAGCAACTTATTCTAAGAACATTAAATCAAATCATTCTTAGCACTTGCATAAGAAGAATAAGTAATTATATATAATAAACTTTAGGCATCAGAATCATCTGGACATGGATAAACATTAGCTGAAAGAGTTTTGAGTGTTCTTGAAGGATTAGAATCTGAATTAGCTGCCTCATTAGAAAATTTGAAATAAAATGAAATCAATGCCTCATGGGAATTAGCTGGATGGGTCTCATTATCTGAAGCTGAAATTGCCTCATTGGAAGTTGAATATGAAAGAAAATAAGTCTTTGCTGATAGAACTGCTACTGTAATATTTAATTAATTAATTAATTCTAGTAAATCCAAGCTGCTTTTGCATAATAAGCTAAATCAAAGATCATCTTATAAGAATCTTAAGATGCTTTAGATTAAGCACAATCTGATTTAGAAGCAAAGAGAGCTGATTATGCTGAAGCCAAAGCCAAGAGATAAGAAGAGAATGCCATCTTGGATGAAGTAATCATCATGTTCAAGAAATAAGTTGCCTCTTGGTCTGGAAGATGATATTCTTTTTAAATACAAAATTAGTCAATAATTACAAAATTAATTATTTTAATATATTATTCATGTCATTGTCTTCGGATACTTACAATAATTATAGTATAAGATTATATATTATATTTATTTTTATATTTCTTTAGAGTTATAACAACAAAAATTTTCTTTTTAAATTGAAACTTGTGATTAAAAAATTCTAATCAATATTAGATTGTATATATAAAAATTAAATTGAAATGATAATTATAATGTTTAAAATTCTAAATAATTTATATTATTTTTCTAATAAAAAAGGATAATATTTATAATTGCTATTAAATTTTACTTAATTCAAATAATAATGAATTGTTAAATATTATCAAAAGATGTTGTTGAATTGTTTATCAATACAAAAATGGTAATGCATTAGTACAATCATAGATCAAAGCTATAATAAAACTATAGTAAATAAATGGAAAGAATTTACCCAAGAACCTATTGATCCATTTTTCTTTTAATGGACTATAATATTCGTAATACGTTACCTTAAATACAATAATATATTATAATAAAACACCAATGCAACATATATTATATTTAACACAAAAATGAATGGATATTTCATTAAAAGCGTGTGAGTTGCCATAATCATAGTATCCTACCATTCATATTCTTTTCTTATTATGATAGTAGTTACAACAATCATAGAAATCTAATTGTTATTTAATATTTTTGTACCATATGGTGATACCATAAACAAAATCTACATGGTTCAAAAAATGAACCTTCAATAATAGAAATGGTAAGATCTATAAAATAATAAATTGGGATTGGGATTGCCTAAATGTAAAATTAAGAAATACAAAAAATTGGACTATCCTTTAATCAAATGAATGTTTGTTGATTTAATAATAGTAATTAGGGATTGTTAAATGTTTGTATAATTGATAGAATGCCATAAGAAATATGGGAAACATTTATATTAGACTCCAAATGTACCTAAAAATAATTGAAGATTAGTGCGTACCATAACATGTCATTATGATATCTAAGTGAGTAAGATGTCCATTAAAAAGGTATGTTGGCCCAATGAAACGTCATAAATTTATTTATGTTTTAATCCGATAGTGAAGAAGAAGATTCACTAATAGTAAGTTTATAAAAAATAAGTATCTAGATAGGAGACATTATTCAAGGTAGATTTGAGATCCATTCGAAGATTGGGTACGGTTCTTTTGGCTAAGTTTATAAAGTGATTGATTAAAAATATGGCAATACTCCATATGCTATGAAAGTTGAATTTGCTAATTAAGAATGCAATTTGTTAGAAAAGGAAATAAAGGTTTTAATTGATTTAAGGTAAGAATGAGATTTCATAAAAATTTAAAGAAAAAAAGTTGGATTTCCAGAGATAAAGTTTTATGGGAAAGAAAAGAGATTTACATTTTGTGTGATGAATATCTTAGGGAAAAATTTGGAATCGGTGATTAGAAAATGCGGGGGTTCGTTTTCACTTTAAACTGTTTTGCGATTGGCAATCTAAGTTATTACACAGTCAAATTTAGATGATTGAAAGAATAGAAGTCCTCCATTCTTGCAAATATTTACATAGAGACCTTAAACCAGATAATTTTGTACTAGAAAATATGACCAGTCCAAAAATAATAAACTTAATTGATTTTGGGTTATCAAAAAAATATGCTGTATTAATAAATTTGATTAATAGAATTCAAAAGGTGAACATATCAAATTAATAAAAAAACCAGGATTAATTGGTACTGCAAGATATGCAAGTATTAATGCTCATGAATCTCTTGAATAAGGAAGAAGAGATGATCTCTAAAGTTTAGGATATGTATTTTTATATTTACTTACTGGGCATCTTCCATGGATGAATGTTAAGATTGAAATGAAAAATCTTAAATATGCTAAAATTCATTAAATGAAAAAAAATTTGAAATTGGAATAACTCTTCTCTAAATAACCAAAATGTTTTATTAAGTTTATGTAAGATATATAAACTTTAGATTTTACATAATAACCTAATTATAAATAACTTAAAGCTTATTTCTAAGATGAATTGTCTTAGCTCTCTCTTAATTATTTAAATTATGGCTATGATTGGGAAAAGCTCCCAGAATATTCTAGTAAAAAGAAGAAACATTAAACTATTGCAATTATGAATAGTTCAGGAAGAGATGAAATCATGAATATATAATTTTAAAAGTTTGATCCTAATAAACATGATTTATTGTTGAAGAAAAGCACTAAAAAATTAGATAATAAACCATTTCTTATAAATGTAGCTGAACCATCAGAACATTAAAAATAATTAGATGTTTAACCATAACATATATCTGGTAATCCTTTTCTCTAAATACCTTAATATAATTCATGTAGTAAAATAGATTAATTATCCTCTTTAAATTAATCTAATCATACATCAAAAACTAATAATTATTTATAAAGTGATGATGTTATGAGTGAAGAATTATTACCAAATATTGAAATGAAAGAAAGTTCATTACCAGGATTTAAAAAAATGATTGATTATGAAATGATAGGAATTAAAAAGCCTTTTGTTCTCAATAAAAAAACATCCTGTATTTATTATACATTATTATTTTTTAGAAATGGATACTATTAGAATTATGTAATAAACTTTTATAAAACCTTAAGTAATTAAAGATGAAGAAGAAAATCCAGAATTAGATTTTAGTGATTGATTTATTGATTAATTATGTATAATTTTTAATTTAATTATAATCATATCATCCTTAAACACTTGTTACATAAAATATATTCATATTTGGTATTTCATATTCAATTTATTCATTCTATTTAGCTTTGACAATAAGCTTTTTCATTAAAAAATTTTATTATATATTATTTAAATCTTAATCTGTAATTTTGCCGCGAATTCCATTAAATAGAGGCTATAAATATGTATAGAAATTCATCTTACATTTTATTATTTTCTAAATGGTGAATTGAAAGATGTATCTAATTAACTACAATTTACTAATGATGATTGAGTCTTTATCTCATGTGTATTCTCAAATATTTTTATTAATTTAAAAGTGTTTATTTTCATTTCCTTCATATTCTGATTAATTTGATGTAACATTCTGCCTGAAATCTTACTCTAATCATATTGTTTCTCTATTAATTCTTCTTCATATTTTTGGGAACAATTAACATTTTTAATAGGTACACTTTTCAAAGTTATTTTATTTTATGAATATGTCTCTAAATCTGATTGTAAAACTGGAACCACATTATATGATTGGGGCATTTGAGAATATAATTTGATTTTTTGATTTATATCCACATTTTATTTGTCAATAAGCTTAAATTCTGTTATAATGTTGGGTGATGGTTTAGTTGTTTCAAATTTAAAAGAGATTTGCCTATCTGATTTATTTTTCTGTTTTTCTTCTTTTTCTCTATTAGGAGTTACATATTGAATTCTACTTCCAAAACCTATTGCTTTAGTAGATATTCCACCTGAAAATGCAGGTTAATTTACCCCTGACATTAATTACACTTTATTATTTTTGGGTGAAGTCAATACAATAGGTTAGGAATTAATTCTATGATGAGTCTTTGTATTTTTTCCTAAATTCATCATTTATCTTTCAATATCCTCCATATTAGTATCAGGTTTTATAGTAAACAAATAGAGTTAATCAAGTTATGCTTTCAATTTTGGTTCTGTAATAAAGTTAGAAACAACAGAAATGAAATTACGTATTGCTGGTCGTATATCCATAATATTAATTACCAAATTAAGAAGATCTGATTTTCTATATTATTTTTTTTCAATTTATTATCCAATATAAAGATTAAACTCATATAATATTCCTAATTCTAGATAAAAACAATAGAAAAAGTTGTATATATATTATTATTTATATAGATATTATTTGATTTGAATTTTTATTCAAAATTTTATTATAGTAGTATAATAGTATAATGAGCTCTATAAATTTATATTTAATGAAAAGTGTAGAACAGTTATTTCCACAATTTCAGGTTGTCAACATTGTGAGATAAAACACTTATAAAAAATCAGTGATTGTGAAAAGGAGTGGATATAATTATATGCTTAGGATATTTAATCTTGAAGGAATTTCTAAAGATAGAATTCAATCAATCATCAAAATTATTAATAAATTATCTAATCATAAGAATCCTCATATAGTTAAATTTTATGAGGCCTCTTTTGATCATGATATGACTTATTTAGGGTAATGATAAAAATTATATTATTAGCATAGTTAGTGAATATTTGGATAAATAATACGAATACCCTTTAAAAGAAGTTGACATTTGGAATATCATTTAAGAGGTATCCAACATGTCCTATGTAGTTACTATTTGCATTACAATAATTTCATCCAAAAAGAGTACATGGTAAATTATAATTGTCAAATTTATTTTAAAGTAAAGGAAAGACTATTTTGGGTGAGATGAATGTTTTATATTATTTACATAAATAAAACTATCAAGATATTTATTTACTAGCACCAGAATTTATTAAATCTCAAATATATGATCATAAATCAGATATATGGATGGCTGGTTATATGCTTTATTAGATGATGTTTAAGGATCCACCGATCATAGCTAATAATGTTGATATTTTACATAAAAAAATACTTAAGGGAATATAAATAACATATAATCCAAATTATAGTCTTAATTTGAATAATTTATTAAGATTGATGATGTGTTATGATTCTGAATTAAGACCTAATGTTGAATAAATACAATATTTTTGTTAACAATCTTAAATATCTAATGAAGAAATCAATATTAATAGAATATTACCTAAATTCAAAGTAGATAAAGTAATATTACATAAAAAGAGAACTGAAAAGAAATCAGAACCTATTTAAAATATAGTATATTTGAATGAAGATCAATTTAAATAACCATATTTTCCACCTTCCAAAATTATTAAATAAAAAAGACTCTTATTATAAAAATAAATTACATCAGTCATGGATCTAGGTCCATCCAAAAAAACTAATTAATCTGTTTAATTCCCTAAAATTTTAAATTACTAATTTAGTAAATTGAAAATTAGGGAATCTAGTACAGTTCCAGGTTCCATTGGAAATTCTGATTAGCTAGAAAAGTACTTTATTCTTTAATTTCAGATTGCAAAATAAATCTTAAATTAATAAATTAGAATTTGATAATATTTTACCATAAACTAAAAAAACCATTCAAACTCAGAGAAAATCTCCAAATAGAATTCAATTATAATAAGAATTTTAAAATAGATAAAAGAGTTAAAGATTATTTTATTGACCATTATAAATTTTTATCTATAATTATTCATTTTTTTTTATAATATCATTAATAAAAAAATTTAATTTTCATTCCTATAATTAATGAAATCAAATTTTCTTATCAATACTAATCCTAATAATAAAACTTAAATTATAATATTTACAAATTCAATAGAATATCTTAGATATTATATATAGTATAGAAATTTGAAGATAAAGATTTTGGTATTTCTATTGGAAAAAGAATCTGATATATAATACTTATTTATTTAATATACATATCATCTAATTCTCTACATATATATTAATATATTGATATGTAATAAATAATAATATACAATAAATAGTGGATAGTCATATTAATAAAGATTATGAAAGTAAGATCAGATTTTCACATATTAATTTTAATGTAAATAATGCAAATGTAATGTAATATTCTCATATAGGATCAATTCAATTCTTGATCTACTCTTTTCCTTCCCTCTGGTGTCAATGTCAATGATACTATAAGTTTCACTTTTTTTCTTTCATTATTTTCCAAAGTTTATGAGTTGATCTTAGTTATTGTTGCAATCCCTAAATATTAAAGATATAATTATACCTTGTTTTGATAAAGTATCAGCTACTTTAACAGTATTTTTAGAAGCTTCTCCAAGTGCATGTAATTCTACATTGCCAAATTTCTTTAGGAATATCTTGGCAATGAATACTTACGCTTTTAATGATTTCCTCATTGATACTTGTAGATTATTATCTTATGGATCTAATTTTTATTTAGGTGTCTATTGGAATTATTATTATTATTGCTATTGTTATCTGTCCATTTAATTAAATAAATTAAATTCTAATAATAAATTATTGATTGTTTCACCATTTAGAAGGAAGAACTATCAAAATTTATACTTTTTATATGATAATATAATGAAGTAACCTTTAATTATTATGAATTAAATAGATTTAAATTAGATTAATTATATTAATGTAAAACTTAGATCTATAAGAATAAAAGATTTAGAATTTGTCTTAATTTTTGATTTCATTATAGAATACATTAGTTATAATAACTAATTATATGTATAGATTTATAAGATGGATCAAACACATTATAATAAAGCTAAAAGAATTGATGATTAATTGTTGGAATTAAAGTCATTATAGAAACAAATAAAACAAAAAGAATTAGAAGATAGAGGTATGAATTATTGTAATAAATTTGATATCATGATCCTCTTTCAATAATTTTAGATTTAACTCTGTCAACTAATTCTAATTCTTATTTTCTTACAGAGGTGGCCTTTTCATATTCAGAAGCAAAATCGTTACACATTCTAGTTGCACTATCAAATATTTCACCATTTCTAATCTTATTATATTAAATATTATATTTACTTTCTTTCCTCTTGCACTATCAATAATAGCTGATTATTAATCTTAACAAATATCCATAGTAGTAATATGATCTCTTAATTTATTTTCAGTTCTCTTCAAATTATTGTAATATTCAACCAAATGAACTCTTCTATCATCATATTCTTAAATGGATTAATCTTCTTCTTCAGAAATCTTTTATAAATTTGTATATAAATTCTATTCTAAGTTTTATAAAAGTTATTTAAGTCTTTCAAAAACTTCAATATATCTTTTAAATTATTTAATTAATATATATACCCTCCATTTTATGTGAGCATTTAAGCAAAGATAGTTGAAATTTAACTCATGATGTTAGTTGTCTTTAATTTGACTGCATCTTAAATCATTCTCAAAGAGATTTCTGACATTTAAGCTAATGAAGCACCTCCAGATTAGAAACTATCTAAGATTTTCAAACTTTCTTAGATTGATCTTAAGGCATCAATATGATCTTGTTTCTTAGCATTATAATTTTAAGCACCTGCTTATCTAATTGAATCTAAGATCTTAATATCTGTATCAGTTGCCTAATATAATAATAAATATATTTAATTACTTTTTGACTATCCAAATTGTTATCTAATTCAGCATCTGCCTTCTTCTTTGAAGTTGAACAATTTTCATATTATTCAGTTGCTCTATTCAAGACTTATTCAGCATCTTTAACATCTTTAGTTCTTAATTCCAATTCAGCACTGCATTGATTTCTTTAATCTGTATATAATTAATCATGTCTGATTTATTCTGAATCAATAGATGCTCTTAAGCTATCCAAAAAATTGACTGCTGTATCAACAGAACCACCTGTAGTTAATTTACTTTCTAATTCTGTCAAGATGCTAACCAAGGATGGTTTACTCTTACCAATAATTGGATATCTATTGTAAATATAAATAGAACTAACTTATGAATGAGATCACCAGCAAAGGCATTTCCTGCCAACAATAACACTAAGGTCACTGCTATTACTTTCATTATTATTATTATTAAAATAAAAACGGATTATGTTAAATACTTAAATATATAATCATAAAAGTTATTAATAAAACAAAATATATCCTTATTGTTAGAGTACATCAATATTATTTACTTATTTAATCTTTTGATCATTAAATAACCACCATTTATTTTATCTTTTACAATAAGAATAATAGTGACCTTATTCTAGAGAACCAGAATGTACAATAATTCCAACTAAATTGTATTTAATACCACAAAAAGTAGATTCTAATGAAAATTTTACATGTTAAATTATTTTATTTGATTTTGGAAAAAATTTGAATCTTTTTAGATGTAATATTAAATATTAAGGTAATTTAGTTATTCTTGTTTTTTTGATGGCTGTTTTTTTTTTATGACAACATTCACATTTATAATCTTAAATTAATTCATCTTTAAGAAAATCTTCTAAAGATTAATTAATAGAATTTATTTTAGTTAATGCTAAAGATAATGTTAAGAAATCTTCTGTTATTGATGATTTATGTGAACAATTTTTACAAATTATTTCACTTATCATTTATCCTTTAAGATATTTCTCAATTATATTTGGTAATTTATTTTATTATTATCCTTGTTTTCTATTATAATTATTTATTTCATCTTCTAAACTAGATATCAAAAACAACAAAAATTCTTATGCATCATGTTAATGTTTTGGATTAAATTTCTTGCTAATAGTATTACGCAATGAATTTATTTTTATATAATCATATTAAGTATCTTTGAGTTATCGAAGAAGTTCTTAATAATTTCTACATAATGTCATAGATTATTAATGTTATCTATTTATGCTATTTAATATAAAATTATTTAGCTCTTAAATACTCATCATACATTATAAAGTTGAATGCATATAGCAAAAGTATAATTCATTCTTCAATCCTTTAATTGGAATCTCAGGATTTATATCCAATTATGATACATTTGAAATTATACTAATATCAACCGATTTTGCTCTGTCTGTTGTAGAACTAGCATTAGAAGTAGGAGATGGTGGAATTTTTTCATCCAGAATTTCAGGACCTCCACTATACTCTTCTAGTAGGAACTTCCAAACTGTCTCATTTACAACAAAGAAATCTACATTTCTTACTTGATTTCTATTCTAAAGTAAGTCAGTATTGTCAATTGGACCAGGTAATGTACTTGAGTTATCATATAAATATGTTGTATATTTTAATGCCCATGCTCCATTCAATCTATACCAATCTGAATCACTATTCTTTTTCAAATCAACCAACCTTTTTATTAATTGACATTCTAATTCTCTACGAGTGTTTCCTTAAGCATTTCTAAATTAATTTTATAATTTGAGTATTTGAGGAACATCACGAGAATATGATGGGGCCTTTTTCTAAGGGAACTATGGTACCTGCTAATTTATTGAACTGCTTGAGTTATACATAATATTACATTACTTATCTTCTTCATTCAAGTTTTCACTATTATTATCAGTGTCTTAAAATGATTGCATTTAATGAAATTAAATAAATACAATATAATATCAAAAAAATCAAAACAGCTCATTTATATCTATCTATTAAGTATATGTTGTTATAAGTACTTATAAGTACATATTGTAATAAATTCAGTATTCCATCATAGTTGAAACTATATATTCTTATGATATTTGATATATAAGGTATATTTATATATTAAGAATTTGTAAATATTAACAATTTGTTTTAGACTATTTATTTTTTTAAATTAATATTATTACTAAGAAATTTTTAGGTTAATAGAAAAAGGTAATTGTTATAGATTTTAAATTTTATATCTCTCATTTAATATTAAATCATAGCTCAATTGTGTTAACAAAATCAAATTATATTGTTGGTATGACTGAATTCATGAACTTCAAAAATATTGTTAAAGAATTATCTGGATGTATTTTCTCTTCAGGACATCCATTCTCTCTCATTTAATCCACAAAGAATTTAAGAGTATCAGCATGTTTACAAGGATGAATTGTTGGCAACTTTATATTTAACTCATTAAATTATTCTTCAGTCACAGTTTTATCCGCATACTCTCCAGAAACATCCTATTAAACATTTAATTAAATGATACTTCTTTGACTTCTTAATAAGTTAATTGTCTATCATCAACTTTGCCACTTAAATATAATCTAGGAGTAAAATAATATAAATCATAAGTAATGTATAAAGTATAATATCTATCTTAGCCTTATGTAATCTCTTAAACTGGTTATTCCTCTGATCTAATTATTGTAACTTCTTCTCCCTCTTATTATTCAGTGAAAGTGCCTCCTCTATTTAAGTCTTTTATTCTCTTATAAGAGATGATGTTTTCTTGAATTAAGAATTATTTGTCATCTGGTAAATACTTATTTTTTTATTAATCACTAATTGCTTTACACCATTTCCAATTACCTCCATTACTTATTAATCTATCCCCAGCCTAATATTAATTTAAAAAATTCTTTACATTAATAAATTCTTCAGGTGTCAACATTCCTTTTGTTAGGAAAACTGACTATTTAGGAGGAGCTATAAATGCTGCTCCAACTGCTTATTTTAAATTGTTTGCTAAGTTTCCAATGTTTTACAACATTTAATTAATTAAAAATATCTATAAATTAATTAGATGGGTTGTGCTTAAAGTAGGTAAAATGAGAAGTCTAACATGATATCATGTGAAATTAAATATCTATTACCAGAATTAGTTTAAGCAATTAAATTAGGTTAACAATGTTTATACTCTGAAGAGTCACCAATTAAAGTATGTGTTATAATAAATTTCTCACTATAGTTGACACCAATAAAAGAAATAGGAGGAATATTTTGTAAATTGGAGAGCCTTTTACCATCTGGCTCTGTCAAAATGAGAGCCATGTATCATATGTTATATAGGTTGCAGCAAAAAAAACGGCATAAAGGGATAGAATAATTGAATCTCGTTATTTGTTCTTCTGGAAATGCAGCTATGGCTTGCATAGAATGCTTAAAATTAATGAAATAAGAAAAGAAATAAGAATTATAAGTAGATTAAACGGTTAGTGAATTTCTCTAAGATGACACACCAACTGATCCTGGTTAATCAGCACTCATTAAGGATTAATAATTATCATCTAAAATAAAACCTTATGAACTACTTGGATAACTGTTCATATTTTGTAAACATTTAAATGAATTGCATCAATTTTCTGATTTACCAAATGTTAAAGTTATCAATTCTCAATTAAATAAATCAGATATAGAGATAGAAGCATTTAAATATGCTGAAGATAATGGTTATGATTATCTAGATCTATAAAATGATGTAGATGTTTTCGGAGGTTACGCAACTATTGGATTTGAAATAGATTAATGGCAAGTTCTTACAAAAACTAAAATTGACTATGTTTTCGTAACACTTAAGAGTGGAGCCTTAATTGCAGCCATTGCATTTTACTTAAAATACATTGCAAAAAATTAACTCAAAGTTATTGGAGTAATGCTATATGGCTCTAGTAGAAGAGAATAGACAATATGTTCTCAAATTATAGAAGGATTTATAGATGAAATTATGTTTGTTACCACTTATGAAGTTGAAAAAGCATAATGTGAATTAGCCAAAGCAGAAGAAATTGCAGAATTTAATTCAGCTATTGCTTATGCTGGATGCAAAAAAACATAATATAAAAATAGTCTTGTCGTTCTCTCAGGAAGTAATGTCCCTGTGAGTGATTTGTCTAAACTCATATCTAAATATGAATGATAATTGTATCCAATATAATATCTTATTATTCATTAATTTGTTAAATAGAATTGCATCTCATCATAATCATCTTAACTATGAAATTTTATCACTACACTTTCCTTTGAATTATACATAAATCCTGGAGTAACTTATTTTAATTCAGCCACTAATGCTTACTTTGGTTTTAAGATTAATTGAGTATGTTCCAATACAAATTTTATTTAAGCCTAAAATAATTTTAATAAATTTTACTTTTTAATTTGGAATAGTCATGTCATCACTATCATACAATAAAATATTTCTGTCTATTGATACAATTGCTAAACAATTTTACCATTTAGTCAATACAGAACCTACATCTCTTTATAATCTCGAAAAAAACTTTAAAATAAATGGATTTGTTTATGGTAATGTTGGTTTTAATAATGTTCCTGGAAATTATGTTAAATAATATTTTATTTGAGGAAATCCAATATCTTAAGATTTTAAAACATCCTTAATAAATCCTACATCTTTAAAAACTATCTAACTGCTTTCCTCTATTGAATTATACTCTTTAAATTTCTGTAATACTAACTATACTTAAGCACTTGGAGTTGTACCTGAATAAGTTTCATGAAATTTTTCCAAATAATATCTCATTCCTACAGAGATAATCTCTAATCTTTAAGATTCTTATTTAATAATCTCATTATAATAAGCTATAATATCCTCTCCTAATTATGTTAATTACAATATTTATTAATGCATAGCTTGTTTAAATTTTCTTTCTTAATTAAACAAATCCTTTGACCTTTTTTTATGGTTACCTCCATTACTCATCATTTCATTGTATAACTTATAAAATTTCTTACTTTTTTCAGTAACAATAGCAAGCTAATCTCTTGCTGACTTTCTTTTGGCTTTAATTTTAGCAACTATTCCATTTATATTGCTAGAATAAGCACTGAGATTAGTTTCAAATTTTTCTTTTATCATTTTTTCCATATTTGTTACTAAGATTGAAAGTGATTTGCCTTAGGCCTAATGCAATTAATTTAGATTTTCTAATGAAGCTGAAAATTTAGGATAGATTACTTAATCTTAATCTTTAAATATTGAGAGAAAAGAAGGATTTTTATGAGTTAATAATTTCACATTATTTTATTCTTATATGATACGTTCCTTTAAAAAAGATATAATTGCTTAAAGACTTCTATCTGAGATTAGTACTCTCAGATCTAGTTGTTCAATGACAGTATCAGAGCATAGTAAGTGTTACTTTGTATTTGTAAGGATAAATTCCTCGTATTATTTAAATTATTGAAATCCTTCACTTTTTCTATTAATACTCATTTCACGAAAGATCTTTTTTAGTGTATTTATTATACATTGCCTTTTAACTCTGGATTAATAGGTTTTAATGGAGGTGGGAGAGGGTTTTATGGTGGGAGATGATTCTCCAGATTTTTTTATGTAATGAGGTCTCTATCAATATCTCGTATTGACTCAAATTAACCATCAGGATTATAAGTGTGCATACAAAAATTCCCTTATAAATTAAAATTAATATTAAAATAAATTCAATAAGGGGAGAGGAGATTTGCATATTCTTATAAAGTTTTAATATTCCTTTGAATTGAATTGTTTGTTGTAAAAGGAGTGCGTATGTAAATAATATATTTTTTTGAATATTAAATTTAAATGGCTTCTCATTTTTTCTAAGGTTTTTCAACTTTTCTTTTAGTTTTTCTTTTCTTGTCTTTTAAAAATAAAATGATTGTTTTACTGTCATCATCTTCATCATTTTAATTGTTCAGCTAATAAGCTAAAGTTTCTTTGATAAGGGGTCTTTGGATATCAATAGGTTTATCAATAATCTTGGCGTTAGCATTAACTATTTAATCATTAATAGTCAATTATAAATGGACTGGAGGACGTAAAGCCTCCTGCAATTAAGAGGACGATGAATACAATAGTAAATAACTTGATAATTAAAATTTCTTCAATACTTCCTATTTTACTAAAAAACATAAATTCCAATAAGATCTCCATATTTTTTAAATTCCTAATACACATTAAAAGCACCCACATCTTTATCTAATTCAACTTGAACCTCATAATTTCTTATCAATTCCTAAACAGGACGTTATTTTTTAGCTACCACCAAAAGTGGTATGCCCTTAACATGTAAACAGGGCCTCATATTACATAGAAATTGAGCAGTATTTTCATCTTAAAATTATAATTCCAAATATTGCATCTTATCTAAAGTGTCTTAATAATTATAATAAATAATAACTCCAAACATGATGAATAGGAACACTCTATTTATGTTGCTACACAATTTCTTAAATCACTTCATACTCATTAACTTCTTATGGGATTGAGAAGATGTACACAGTATTCTTGTCTGTAAACACTTATTAAGGCTTTATGGGTTATACACTGTCTTTATTAGAATCTCTTGATGAGCTTTAGGATGAATGTCTATTTTTCTTTGTTTTCTTGATTCTTCTTGGCTCACTAGAAGAAGATGGAGATCTTCTCTTAGATCCTTGCCATATTTATTTGTTATCAACTCTCTTGTTTTTCTTCTTCTTACTTGTGCTTCTGCTCTTGTATCTTCTTGAAGATTCACTACTATCACTTCTACCTTTTGATTATTGCTAAGATTTAATGAAAATATAAAACATTTCTTCTTAAAGAACGTTCTAAGTGTTCTTTATCTAATATTTTCTTGTTTTCCAAATAATTCTTGAAAGCATCACTTAACTCCACAGTCTCTTTTTA